TACTGTGGTACTCCGAAACTTCGCGAAAGAACAATAAATTATATGAGTAAAAACAAAGATTCACAATTTATTTCTAACAGATTATACTCATAAAAAATAGTAGATTAAAATTAAGAACCGCCTCTGTTTGATAACTGCTTAACAACAACAAAAATACAAAATAAATAACGCTGAAGGGTCGGTTAAATGCAATTCCAGGCGCTAATGTTCTATTGTCCATCCAAAAATTAAAAATATCACCATCCAATTATCATTTGTTTGAAACAGGACTAATGAAAAACATTCTTGCAAGTACAGAAAGAGACCATAATAACAACTAAAATATTTTTTAAAAAATAATTTTGACATTGTCTGCCTAGCCAATGGTTTTCATTGCCGTATCCTTAGTGGTATTCTCGTTTCATTCTTGTTGAGATCTGATCGTGAACACGATTTTTCCCGTGTAACGAAAAAATGCTGATCTTGGCAAAATAAAATCGTGATCTTAGAATTGTAATCAAATGTAAGTTGTCTTGATCAAGTTCGTTATGCAATCTCGTTCGATTTCTGTTTCAAGAGTATGATGGGATCAGGATTATAGCAGGATCGTGTCTAATTGCCGACAAGATCTTGAGAAGATTTTTCGTTTGCCTATCGTTGAGAAAACTTCATTATTGTATCATTCTGTTCCTTAAACTATCAAAGTACAAAATCAATACTTGCACGAAGCTAGGAACACACTGACTTCGTATTTTTCTCTATCTCCGTCTGCAACGACGTAATGTTTTTTTATTTCGTCCATCCGTTGATAGAAGAAGAAAAAAGGCAAACAGTGTGCGTATATCAACTATAGTTGATTATTGATTTATTGTAGGACTTTCTTTTTTTTCTGTTTATTTTTATGATAAGAAGTTTATTAATGTCCTTTGTGGGATTACGTATGATTAGAAAGATTCGAATGTTAATACTTTATTCTTCTACTAGAAATATAGATATAATTATTGTCGGTATACAAACTATAAATTATTGAATATTAATGAGTTTTATACGTTTATAATGTTTTTAGCGTCTATTCAGGTTAAATACGATGAATATAGCAATTTAATTATAATCATGCTTATGGTTGTACCTTCTTTCATTTTATTCATTTATAAATTAATATTAGTATTTGGTTTGGTTTGGTTTGGTATTTAATTCAAAATTGATTTTTTATAGTTTTTATCGATGTTTTATTATTAATTTATTATTTTACTTCTGCTTTTGCCTTTTTATTGCCACATTAATTTTTATATTTTTACTTTTGTTTATCTACAGTATTTACGTTTTCCAAAAAAAAAGCAAAGTATCATTAGAGCAATAAAGCAACACACGAATAATTTCAAACACAGAAGTTAAATGAGAAATGTAAGAAATGAGACAAAAATCTGTAGCTACATTGTGAGTATTCTTATGATCCTGTCAACCATCAAGTACTTTTGTTAAAAGAATACAAATCTCAAGTATAAACGACACTATTACCTCAGATGTCAGTGTCATATTTATGATGTCGTACAACAACGTTATTATCGCAGCTATCACCGCGTCGGAAGAGTCATTATATCACCGAGGGATCGAAAAAACTTAGACGCTTATTCGATAAAAATTCATCTTATGATCCAACTCAAAAGTTTTTGCAAAACGTTACTGTATAGCACTAAAGGCAAGCGATATCGAAAAACTTTTCTAAAGTATCCCAATCCAAAAGTTATCGTGTACCAGATAATCAACTATGGAGAAGATGAATATACAATTGGTTTTGATCGAACAAGATTCTAAATTTTTCCAATCCGGTTATATATGTAAAATACTTTTCTTTTCGTTTTAGATTCTTTTTATTCTATGACTATGATTCATAGTAATACGCGTTAGATTTCTATTTTGGATATTTTGTTCATTTTGAGACATATACCTCTGAGAAAGTGGAAGTAGAGTAGAGATCTACACGGGCAGCCAGTGTAGATCTCTAAAGTAGTCTTAATTACTGACTGGTAACATTTCATTGTAAGAAACTTTTTATCACGTTTTCTACCAATAATCGTGTATGTATTAGTACTATTTTAACATATATCAACAAAACAATATTCGATTATCAGATAAATCGATTCTTAATCTTTCACGTTCACTTTTCTCAAGAGTTGTTAATATATTCAACAAGTACAATTTTATTCTGAAAGAATCAAATAATACTATAATGCATGTGATTCACAATTTACCTGTAACAGGCTCACGTGATTTCTGAAAAAAATTCAAGATAAAATCATCGATTTTTCAAGGTTAAAAGCTCAGTTTCACTTTACCTTTTGTGAAAAAATATTGTTAACGACAAATTTGATTAAAGTTCACTATTTTTTGTGAAGAGACAGTATTTAGTTAAGGAAGAAATATGCATGACAACAGTGACGAGAACCCTTTATCGTCTTTATGACTATTCGTATACTGTACGTGTTCACAAATGTTACAGTCGACGAAATACATTGCTGTTCCATACAACAGTCTACTCTGAGGTGTTATCCATGTCTGGTTTCTTAATAATCGTGTTTACCTAGAGACCTACAACGGTAAGGTTATTCTACCAGTGTTCCTCCATGCCAGTAGTTCTTCATTCTCACATTATTTAAGACATATGTCTGTGCCCTTCCGTATCTGTATGGAAAGAAAAACCTTTTTTCTCTCTGATGTGCACAGATTTTTCCTTCTCTGGCTTTTAACCAATTGTTATTGTTCACTTATAAAAGGACACATTTTTTTGCAGCGTGTCATATCCCAGGTCCAATAGACACGGTCGTAAACGACCGTATACGGCGATATACATCAGCCGTATACGGCGGTCGTATTACGACGAAATACGGCAGTTTACGACTGCCGTATACGGCGAATATCCTGTGACCTGTGTTCCTTGGAATTCCATCGCAAAATATATTCTTATAAGTTTTCCGATATGAACTGGTGTTCTTTATGTGATCAAATGGCATCAAAGTGTTCTTTTGATCAACTACCCAGACCCAAAAAACGGTTAACGTCTAGTTAACGGCACAAAAAACGGTGCGTTAACGTCCTCAAAATAGCAAAAAACTGGCCAGTAAACAGGCCGTTAACAGTCAGTTGGTGGCCAATCTCTCGGCGGCACCTTACAATTTATTTTCACTTCAGTAAACTATGATTACTATACTATATATGGAAGTTTGACGGAAGCTGTGGTAAGGTATTTTCATACATGGGAGCCCACGCGTGGAAATTCATGGTATTTATTGTAAACATGAGTAGCAAATTCACACTTTTGTCTACAAGCAATATGGCGCTGGATTTAAAATTCTAGGTACGTGATGTGTTCGAATCTCAATCCTGGCAAATAATTATAATTGTATATATGTGAGTGGTAAGTGATATTCAAGACGATACAACGCATGGGTGACGTCCTGAAGCTCTGTATACATCTTCTGTAGAAGATGCTGGAAACGAAAAATAATTTTTTCTAAACTGACCGTTAACGGCCGCAGTTACGACCGTAAAACGGCCGGCGTATTTACGGTGTAGTTACGGCCGTTTATTACCGTATTTGCACCGTATACGGCCGTTTACGATGCAAATACGACCGCAAACGGTGATTTACGGCGGTCGTATAGGACTGTATACGGTAGTCGTAAAATTGGACCTGGGATATGGTGGTTCCTTACAATAGAATGTTATCGGTCAGTAATTAAGACTCTACTTCTACTTTATCAGCGAAATATGTCTCAAAATGAACAAAATATCGAAAATAGAAATGCATCTCACTACGAATCATAGTTTTAGAACAAAAAGAATCTAAAACGAACTCTAAAGAACTTTTAGTTACTTACCAAGTAACCCATCAATTCTTGTATAAAACTTCACAGGTGATCTAAGTATTTACCCTAAGTACCTAGCAAGCAAGTGGTTTTGAAAACACTTGAGAAGTGCTTGAATCAAGTACCTTGAAAAATTGCTAATTATACATGTATTTCGTCTCGAGTGCATTCACTATGGCAGAAATACTATTTGTAGAAGAAATATTTTATCATTTTGTTTTATATTGATAAATCCAATTATAAACTGCAATGCTATGTACTAGTTTCAAAAACATTTGTTTGTAAAACAGCGCACTCTGCCTATTATTCTGCTATTGGATATAGAGAGATGTATCACACCCGATGCGAAACACCTTTACGATGGTAATACAGCTAATTGATAAAAATGGCTGACAACATAATAAATATGCCTATAACTAATTAATTATAGTCAGCGAAATAGATAATTAATTAGTGAAACGGAAGATTATATCGGGACTCTTTTGTGCATGTACATAAACATCGAAAGAAATAACATTTCATGGAGAAAATTCTTTATCACTGTACGCTTGACTGATTGTGCCAGTTTATTAGTTATTCTCAAAAAAATGATTAAAATGTGTATGTTTATGTTTCTAATATTTTAGATCTATTCATATTTTGCCGTTGAACAGTTTTTATTGTTTGTTTCGGTATTCTTCTGTTCAAAAATTACTTATTACACATAATAGTCATCTGTTTATCCTTAATCATTTTTTATTTTTATTTATTTTCATCAATTATTAAAATATGTTATAATTCATAACTAACTTCGGTACGCCTAAACAACGTATTTATTTAATTATCTGTTTTGATCTCGCATAATAATGAATTTGTTTGTATGGCCACAGATGTCGGTCTTATTTATGAAACGAAAGACTTAATTTCGACACAGTAAGTAAACGTAAAAGTTTGCCTCATCTGTTTACCCGACGTACGAAAAAAACCCGTAACTAGACTTAATCTTGGAAGCTATTTTCTATGTAGACATATGCGGTTATGCGCATTATTCATACCCATGGATATGGAACCCAAAACATATATGACCGAGCGTTGTAGACTGATTATGTTTCATTTTGCCAACTGCTATACCGTCAATATCTATTAGTCACTAACGAATTTGTTTATATAAGGAATATGTCACTATACTTATTACTCACGGGCATAGGTGATGACTACGAAAAAAAGCACGAGTGCAAATGCCTGTGTCAACGAGGTTACGTTGACTCAGTTTAACGGCAAGTCTTCATAAGAAAAGTAAAAGCTTTCTTTTACCACAATCGAACGTTATCTCTAAAACGATTTCGAGACTATCTGTTCAAGAATGTACTTTAATTAAAAAATATTTACTTCAGTTTGATCATTTCTTTAGCATAAAAACACTTTGTCATCTTGTTCTTTAACATTCGACAAAATTAGTTAATCGATCGATTTGGTGAACAAAGTTCAAGAAAAGGTAATAATGACTAGATCTAAAACTCAATATCTTCCATTTATTTTTATCTTTTCTTTTCTGTAGTTGCTACAATTGAAACATCATTAGACCATACCACGTCGATGAATAAGTAAGTAGTATTTAGTGAAATTTATTCATTAAGTAATCATTATTCGAAGAAACTTACTAGATTTCTCTGCGATTACTTTTTTTATTTAGTTCATCTTCTCATGTTCATAATCAATGCTCATTTTGTTCATGTGATTCGACGTGCAGTCTTGGGCAAGGCGAGTTAACGTTATTTACAACAGCACGCTGTATACCACAACGACAAGAACAAAAAGATGAACAAAAATGTTCGACAAGCACGCGAATAATCTAGTAATTAAATATAATCACTATCTATATCGATAAAACTAAATTGTTTTTTTCTTGTTTATCTTGTAGTGATATTCCATCAGACAAACGTTCAAATTTTTTATTGGTAAAAGATGATGGTAAAATATTGGTACCAGTTGATGAAGAATTGTTGCGTGTTGGATTTGAGAAATCTGAACAAATATTATCCTCGTTAATTAAACAAAACGGTAAACTGAAAACTATATCATTCGAACAAGTAGTTATAGCATTAGACATATGTACTTATTGGCGGTGTTTTTTCTTTTAGGCAATTTTTGGGCTCATGATCGATGTGCACGATGGTCCAGTGGTGTCTCTGTGGATAAAATAACTGGAAAGTTATTGAATGTTGACAAGGCTGTTTTAAACGCAGTAAAGCAGGTATATTGCAGAAGAGGAGAAAGAAGGAAAGAATTTTCTAATATTTATTTTGATTTATTTTAGCAATGTTTTGTTTGTGAACGTTATGGTGGTTCATTAAAATGTAAACTATCGGCGTGTCAAAATTATTTTCATTGGCCTTGTGGTATAACATCAGGAGCATTTTTTGATCATCAAAAACACGAATTGATATGTTCACAACATTTAGAACATGTTACTTCTCTATGTAAGGAAGCATTTGAATAATAACGCACTGTATTGTATTTAATTTGATTATAACTAGAAAGTCAATATTCTTGAGGGTTTATGTTTTATTCAAATTTAAGTACTGTGCATATAGAAGTTTTCACTAAAATATTTCATTGCTTTCTGTTTAGTTGGTTTATCATCTCGTTGTCATGCGTGTGATCAAATTGGCGATATATCAACTCAGTTATTTTGTACGAGTTGTGATAAACATTATCATTGTGATTGTTTAATGCTAGAGGCAAATGTTGTTGTTAGAACGGGATGGAAATGTCCCGATTGTAAAGTTTGTCAAACATGCAGGTTAGAGAAGATCTTAGTGTAGATTTTAAATATCATATTTTTATTTCTTTGTTTCATTGATTCTAGACAAACGGGTGATGAGAGTGAAATGATAATGTGCAATACATGTGACAAAGGTTATCATACATTTTGTATGAAGATGCCGGAGTCAAAAATACCAAAAGATGGTTGGAAATGTTCAAGTTGTTTATCATTACAACAACAACAATTATGTCTCGTATGTCAACAACATATAACCAAGCAAACCACGTCCAGACAATGTTCACAATGTCAAAAGTAAGAAATAAATCTGTTATTATTCATGAGAAATCTTTTGTTTTGTCGATAAAGCGAATTATTTAATATTGACATAAGCTAATGCAAGAAGCAAACATTGTTTCTTAAAGTTGGGTAGATGTACTTATTTGTTTTTAATTTTTAGATATTTGCATGTTGCATGTGATCAAACGTCTTCATTATCTCCAGATATTGGTCATGATTATTATGATGATCATTCCGGTATTCGCCCTTATATGTGCCGATTGTGTAGTTCGACAGCAACTATTACTACAAATACATCGACAGTACCAGAGTTAATTGAAGATGATGACGAAGAGTTTGATAATGAAAGTGAAGGACTGAGTGCTGATGTATATCGATCATCTACGTCGAATTTAAACAGATTTCTAATCAAATTTCAAAAAACAACTGTAAGATATTTGACATTTTCGTTTAAATCAAATTTTCCAATGTTTCACATATATCACATCGAGGGATGTATTGCGACTAAACACTATACATAAACTGAAATGACTTCGTTCCAAAATACGCCAAGCGACAAAAAAACGTCCATTTCGTTTTATATCCATCTCGCTTATATCACGTGTCTAGCATCTTGAGTCGATGTACAGAGTAGAGGAGTATTGTAAAAAATAATTTTGCTGATGGAATAACTTTTTTCGAAACAATTAAGTGAGGAAAAAGAAGATAATTTTTTTTGTTACAAATTTGACGACTTTTTCGAAGAGAAATAGAGAAACTTCAAGGAAAACTCTACCTCTTCTTACTCAGGACTTACATTTCTGCGCCTAACACAGTATAACATTACGGTAACAGTCAAAGCATAACAACCACGGTCAACAAACAGTGTTTACTGATATTCTCTGATCTTCATATACTTAACTGAGTGGAAAGATATCAATACTTGTATATCTGAAAATTCTTATTTAAAATAACAGAAAATTTGTTTTTTTCTATACTGTTTGTTTGTTTCTCTGATGATATAGATTTTCTTTGTTTATTTTCAAGAGTTCCTCGAGTTCTGATGGTCGTAAAACGAGTATCGATTATACGCAGCAGTCTTCTTTGGAGTATCAAATGAATTCAAATCAAAATAGTTTAGATGAAGAGAGTAAAAACCATTTCACAGGAATGGAATTATCTTCGTCTAATACTTTGCTCTTTGAACCGTTACCTCTATTGCATACTTCAATACAAACAGCAACAACTAACAGTGATGGATCAAGTTCGAACCAAGAACTCATAGATTTTGGAAGCATTAAACAGGTAAAATGGTTTTTAATTTTTAAAAGTATTTTAAAATGTTGGTTATTCCACTGTTGTGTCTGAATTACTTGAACAGTCTGATCAGTTACTTTTTGATTAAGGATTCTTAATATTTTTCCAGGAACCATCTCATCATCTAACATCGTCCAAACCATTAACAACTCGAGCTCAAGCCGCCGCTAAAACTGGTAAAGGCGTTAAACCGTGTCAGGCCTATACAAATATGGATACTCTGAGTAAAAAACGAGCGAGAAGAGTAAGTATGCCAGAGCTTGGTCATCCTTTTAACTTTTTACACAGTATTCTACTCTCATTTTCTCGCAGGCTCTACACAGTAGTTCAAATCGTCGTGCTGGTTCTCCTACACCTTCATCTACCAGTCCACTTCCATCTACTGTAAATCCACAACAACAACAACAACAACAACAACAACGTTCAACAAATTGTCGTGGACGTCCGCCTAAAAACAGAAAAGAAGGACAGGCTGGAAATTCGACAAATAATACTAACGATAATGTAAGTGTAAAGCATTTTCTAAATATGTATGTATGGTATTATATTGTTGTTTTAGTTAATGTCAAATCAGCCAACAGAATTAGGTTGTTATACGGTTGGTGTTGTTAAACGGGATGAGGATGAACATCATGCTGTTACGGTTTTATGTTCAACTGATGAATTGTATTCACTTTGCCAAGTATGTCACATCACTTTAAGTAATATTTATGAAATCTAATTTCAACCATCAAAACTTTCTAGGATATGTGTGTTAGCTGCGGTAGTTTCGGTTTAAGTGAAGAAGGAAGATTGATATCATGTACACAATGTGGACAAAGTTATCATCCTTATTGTGCGGGATTAAATAAAGTATGTTAGTGAATCATTTATCTTGAGTAAAAAAATTAAAAAATTTGAAGCTTTGATTAGACTGATTTGTAAAAATAATAAATCTTGTTGTTGTTTTAGTTATCAAAAGTAATATTAAAACAAGGTTGGCGATGTCTAGATTGTACAGTATGTGAAGGTTGTGGTAAACCAACAGATGAATCTCGATTACTACTTTGTGATGATTGTGACATATCTTATCATACATATTGTTTACAACCGCCACTCGATGATGTGCCAAAAGGAAATTGGAAATGCAAATGGTACAACAAACGACAATCTTTTGTTGATCTACATTTTCTTATCCATTTTTTGTTTTAAGGTGTGTTCGTTGTTTAAAATGTGGTTCGACATCACCTGGTACTGGCTGTCTGTGGGAAAATAATTATACAGAATGTGGGCCTTGTCATTCACTAGTGATTTGTGCACTCTGTACAAAATCCTATCGTAATGATGAATTGATCTTACAATGTACAAATTGTGATCGATGGTGCCATGCTGCATGTGAAAATATTCACACTGAAGAAATAGCAGAAAAAGTTGCTGATCTTTCTTTCATTTGTTCATTATGTAAACCGACACATGATCAACAACATCCACTCGAACAATCTTCCAGTCAACTTCTTTCGCCGACCATTGAGCCATTACAGACAACAAGTTGTCAATCATCGCCCGATCAGCAAATTCATTCAACAGAACACGTGACTGTCCATCCGACGGCAATACCGACACATCCAGCACTTGTACCTACGTTGCCCATACCCAAACCATCAAAATTAGACGAGGGGGTTTATCTAACAGATACAGGTTGGTTATATAGAAACATGTTTAAGAAAGTTTCATGAAAAACATGTATGGACTCACTAACTCTGTTAACTGTTAAACGTTTAGGTATTGCTCATTTAAAATCGATTCGTCTCAAACCCAACTCTCATACAAAGAAAGCGAAACAAGCTATGAAACAAGTTTTACTTCAACGTGGACAGTCCCAACAACAAATTTTAACAGCGATGGGTATTAAACGAACAAATTCAAGTTCAATGTCTGAAAGACAAGAGGATGATATGAGTTGTACGTCAGATGATGATCATCATGCACAAAATACGCATCCTCTGGCACAACATGGACATCACGAAGCACATGAACAAACAACGACAACAACAAAAAAGACCACAACAAGAACCGCCAAAGGCTACACAGGTACGTTCAATGTAAAGTTAATTCACAAACGTCTTTAATCTATCGATTTAACATAAGACCGTTTTTTAACGGATTATAAGAAACGACGACGAATGAAAGTTTTACTATAGTTTTATATCTTGTAAACTAAAAATTCTAAAAGACGCCAAAAGCATCTCAGTAACACTGTTCACCTACATCAGTACCGAAAATGTTTAGAGATGATGTTCATATTCGTAATTATGCTTTTTAGGTATTGGTGGATTTCATGTTAAAATTCGTGGTCAACGACGCCGCCTTGATTTTAACGAAATGAATGGGAACGGTACCGATCTGTTTTTATATGAGAATCAGATGGATGTAGGTGGAAATGGTAAAACAACTGATGAATATGGAAATGTGGCAGCAATAACAACAGGTGTAAAACAAAAAAGTAGACATAGACGAAAGAAAAAAAGTGTTCTAGAAGAACATATGCCACCAGAAATGCAGGTAATTAATTTACTAAAGTTGTATCCATATATGAGGGAAGAAATCTACACCAAAAGAAAAAGGATCGGGCTTCACTAAATAATAACGTAATACTCATTTATCTGATCTTTAACATTTAACAGAAACAAATGGAAATAAGATTTTTTCTATAAATCTGCGTTTAGGAAGCGTTTTTTGGCAGTGGTCTAGCCGAACAAAGTCGAATGAAGGCTTTAGTTAAACAAAATACCTCGCTAAAAGGAGATGATTTAGTTAGTGGCGATCAATCAGCAGTGAACTTGTCTAATAGCAGTGATCAAATGCCAATAACGTCAGCAACTGATGAACTTCAATATACAATTAAATTAGATCAAGATACCATTACACGATTTTTAATGAGAAAAGCAACAAAAACTAGTCAGATAACAAATTCAACGGCTACAGTTATTAAAGAAGAAAAGCAACAACAGCAATCTCATGCCACTCATAATCAACCTCATCAAGTGCCTGCTCAATCACATACATCCATCCAGTCGACACAACATTCATATTCACAGCAGCAGCAGCAGCAGCAGCAGCAACAACAACAACCGTCTGGCTCATCGACGACATTTTTGACACAGCCACCAATTTCTACAACACCACCAGATGATGAAACCGAAATGCGTAAGTTCAGACCAATGTTCACGTTTTAACCAAAAGAAATCGTGACATAGTGCCGTACAGAAGGAATACAAGATTTTTCTTTAAAAAAGCGAGATGCACATAATCGACTTACTTCTAATTAACTAAGCGCTGGGAAAACTTTCAATTATTGTTTAGAGCATATATTGGATAATGAAGAATTTTATAATTTCATTAATTTCATGGATACGTCAAGAACGACAACTCAAGATCCACTATTACCACTATGTGAGTATAATTTTAGACAAAAACGAAGATTGTGAAAAGT